TTATTTGTTTATTCTTAGTTTTTATTTGTTTATTACAAAACCTATACAAGACTTACAAGTTACAAAACAAAAAAAAAGAAAAAGAAAAGAGAACCAAAAAGCGAAGAAAGAAGAGACAGAGAAGTACAAGACAAGAGTGAAGAGCCTGATCTGCGAAGCCTGGACGGAGACTCTCGGATCTGTGTCTGCAGGTAAGTTCTCCTTCCCTCTCTTCTTCTTCTCTCCTTCTTGCTTCTTCTCTTCTCAGATCTGCTGGAGGCCCGGATCTCTCAGATTTTTTTTTTTTTTTCTCTATTCTTCTTCTTCTTTTCTTTAGTTCTTCTTCTTCTCTCGGCTCTCAGCCTCTCTCGGCTCTTGCTCTTCTTTTATTCTTTTATTTATTTATTTATTTTTCTCTATTTTTTTATTTTTTTTCTCTATTTTTTTATTTTTTAATTTTATTCTTCTTCTTTTCTTCTTCTTCTCTCGCCTCTCTCGGCTCTTCTTTTGTTTTCTTATTTTTTTATTTTATTTTTCTCTATTCTTCTTCTCTCGGCTCTCTGCTCTTCTTTTATTTTTTTATTTTTATTTATTTATTCTGGTCCTCTGTTTTTTTATTTTTATTTTTATGCTTGTCTAGAATAGTGCCTTGCATGTGTTTGGACTTTGATGATCAATCTGTTTCTGTTTTTATGCTTGTCTCTGTTTTTATTTTCTTTGTTTTACAGTAATTAATTAATCCAAACAGTTTTATTGTGATAGTCCAGAAATGTCTATTCTTTTTAATTGTTTGACACTGATAAAAAAAAGTCATTGAGTGAGTTTGTGCATTTCTGTAATCTTGTATTAGGTTGCACGTTTTCCTTAATTAGTCTTTTCTACACGCTGACACACGCATATATATAATAAACACACACACCCATATATATATATATATATATATCTTCTATATAAAAATTATAATTCTGTCAAACCTTGACGGCAAATTTTACAATTTGCTTCAATTTAAATGTACAATCCACCTTTTAAATAATGTTTTAGTGTGAAAAATTATAATTCTGAATGTTGACTTTATTGGGTGGGTTTTATTTTTATTTTTTTTCGACGTGCGCCTCGCTTCAGTCGGGCGCGCGCCTCGCCTTGCGCCTCAGGCTCCAGGAGGCATTTGTGCTTTTGTGCGCCTTGAGCCTTTAATAACTATGTCCCTTGTTGAATTTCTTTCTATGAAGAAATCTTTTGAAGGATTGAGTGATAAGGGCTAGATCATCATTTTCACTTTCATTGTCGGCAACTTCCTTTTCTATTTGAGAAGATTTAAGAGCGATTTCTTTCTTTCGATGATGATCTACTTCTCTATCTTTTAGTGTGATCTCCCATGTTAGAAGAGAGCCAAGAAGTTCATCCAGCTCAAGTGTGTTGAGGTTGTGAGCCTCCTTAATAGCTGTGGCTTTTGCATCCCATTTTTCCGGTAAGCTTCTTAGAATTTTCCTTGCAAGATCAGAGTTAGTAATAGTTCTACCAAGATGCTTTAAGCCATTTATAATGTCAGTAAATCTTACAAACATTGCACTAATAGACTTAGTTTCATTCATACGAAATAGTTCATATTGATGCATAAGAATGTCAATTTTGGATTCCTTAACTTGTGATGTCCCTTCATAAGTGATCTGAAGTTTATCCCAGATTTCTTTAGCTGTGGTACAAGTGGAGACTCTATTGTACTCATTAGGGCTTATGGCACAATTCATATTAACTTTGGCTTTAGCATTTAGGGAAATGAGTTTGTAATCCTCAATGTCCCATTCAGCTTCAGTTTTGGGGACACTTCTTGAGTTAACAACTTTCATTGGAACAAAGGGTCCATTGACAATAACTAACCAAATTTGATAGTCTATAGATTAACGAAAGTCTATCATTCTATTTTTCTAATAACCATAGTTTGTTCTATTGAACCAAGGAGGTCTAGAATTAGATTGACCTTCTTGGTGATAGTGACCATTCAAGTTTGCCATGATCATTCTCTAATACACTTAAGTCTTTTAGAGATTAGGCTTTGATACCAATTGTTGCCCCAATTAATGACTCTAGAGAGGAAGGGGGGGGGGGGGGGGGGGCAATAGCAAAGTAGATTTCTCAATAATAATTTAACAAAGCAATTTGAAGTCTAAGTTACACCTATCAGCAATTATCAAGAAATAAATTCAAAAAAATTTGAAGCAATAGATATAAGAGATAAAGAGAGAGATTGCAAACAAGTACTCGGCGATTTTAGTGAGGTTCGGAAACTCCTACTCCTCGGCTCAAGACCCTTCTTGAGACTTCCCAATTCACTATGGCTTCTCCTTGCGGGTGGAGAGCAAACCTTTTACAAGAAGCTCTTCCTTGCTTCTAAGTGCTAAGAGAAACACCTTCTCTTAGTCTTCCTTGGGCCACACCAGCCCTTACAAGATTTGAATAAGATTGTTGAAGTACAAGATGATCTCTCTTAGAATTAAAGTACAAGATTCAGCTCACTCTAGAGTATGTATGAATAAATTGAAGCTCAATACTCTTTGTAGATATGAAGTATGTGTATGATGATAAAAAGGTTCTATGATTGCAAGAATATCTTTCTCAATGAATGCAATGACCATTTATGATTATCACAAGTCATTATATAGACTTTCGGATGTCTCTGATATGTATTCTAGCTGTTGTACACACACTTAGAGGAAAAATGGCCGTTTGAAATTTGAATTTTCGCAGGTTCGGTCGTCCGAAATAAATCACTCTTGAGGTTCGGTCGACCGAATTGGTTTGAGGTTGACCGCTAGGCTTGGTTCGGTAGACCGATGAAAAACTCCCTTTGTTTCGGTCGACCGAAACTCCTTCCTCCTTTGTTCTAAAACATTATGTGAGAATCGGCTCTGCTGATTCATTTGCCTCTTTAGTTTCGGTCGTCTGAAACTCAAGTGATGTTCTTTCATTTGCTAAGTTTGGTAGACCGAAATATAATGGTCCTGAGTTTCGGTAGACCGAAATTACTTAGAAGTTTTGATCAAAGCTTTTTAATAGAATCGGTCGACCGGTTCCATTTCGGTCGACCGAAATGGAATTTATATTTTAGGAACATGTTTTGATGATGTTTAAACTTGGTCCAATGATCCTTAAACCTAATGAGTGAGTTTCTATGTATGATTATGAGAATGTGAGCTTCAAGAACCGAAATGGAATTTATATTTCAGGAACATGTTTTGATGATGTTTAAACTTGGTCCAATGATCCTTAAACCTAATGAGTGAGTTTCTATGTATGATTATGAGAATGTGAGCTTCAAGATGTTCATACATGCTTTAACAAAAGTTTCCTAAAAACTCACCATCCTAGCTAACCCCATTGAAGAGATCTTGATAACTTCTCTTGAATCTTGATTCCTCTTTGTCATATCTTGATGATGCTTTTTCCTTTGAGCTTTAATATGTAATGACTTGTCTTGATGAATACTTTTGATCTGTAATTTTGCTCAAGGTAGACATTAGTACACATAGAACATCATTAATGAATTATGATAATCAAAATCCTTAGATTCAAGGTCAACACTCATGTTTAAAACAGAGATGACAAACAGTAGGTAATACCAAGCCTCTCATCCTTAAAATATGCAGTGAAGGTAGCTTATTATGAAAAACTAAGCAGCAAGTTATTGAGACCCTTGGCCTGCACCCATTCCAGCAGAGAGAAAACCATGTAACTTGAAGATTATGAGTTCTCACTGAATCCCACATGTATCTGAATTTATAAGGACCATTCCTCCATAAGACAGAATCAATTCCCTGTTGCAACTGAACAGAAATAATAAAATTATTAAGCTGATTTATCAAGGAAGAATGAGGCATAGGCAAATGCCAACATCCAACATCATTCTGACTTATTAAGTTCTACTTAAATTTACTAGGCCTTGCTCACCAACATGATTCTGACTTGATAATCTAGGCCTTGTTCACCAACATGATTTCAACTTGATAATCGTCTTTAAAATTTACTATTAAATTTGCTCTTGCATACCTCTCTATAGCATGTTACATGGGTGTGTCCAATACTTTTGGCCTTCGTGTAGCTTTTGGGATGCGTTCCCCATTTGAACGTTTTCTATATCATTCTTACTTATAAAATATATATATTTTATTGCTTCAAAACAAGTGAAATACTTATATTGATTTCTATGTTACATAAAAACTTATATATGTATTTTACTTGAACAAATAAATTTAAAATATTAAATAATATGAATATTTAGCAGTGTGTACATATGTCCTTCTGTTTGGCAGCTTTGGTCATTTGCACATCTGATGCTTGCACACACATACCCGCACCCGAGACACATACCCGAGTCCATGTAAAACAGGCCCCCACCAAGCTCTATATAAATCCGTCCTTGCATTTGGATACTAGAAACTGTCACTGCCTCTGAATTTGATAATTGGACAATCATGTGCCAAAGAAAATTTGGATATAAAATTTTAGTCTGGGATACTATATGTATATTGGGTGAAAATTGTTTTAGTCATCAACTTCAATGATTTTACATTGTAAGTTATGCCTAGATAGAGACCTGAAGAAATGATCCATTTCACTCGTATTAATTTCATTTAATTGTATAATGAAATGATTTTTTCTTTCTTTCTTCTTCTTCTATTTTTTTTGGTTCCCTTCTGAAAACCTATTGATATAGATCAAATATCCGATGCAAATTGAATTAGTCTATTATGATGGCATTTAAAAACTGCTTAGTGTGCTATTAATAGATTTAAAGGAGTCAACTCAGTGAGGCTGTTTACCTCAGTACTTGCTTAATTTTAGGGCATTCTTTAACATCTGTGATCTGAGTTATCTTCTAGTTTGGTGGATATGATGGGGTGCCCCCATATCACTCTATTGAGGTTCTGTTAAAATGTTTTTCTGAAACAGAATGGGGAAACCTTACATTTCATTTTGTTGGTTTTGTGGTCTCCTCTAAAATTAATTTTACTTTGCCTGCACAGTGGTCAGAGAAGAGAGGGGTCCATATAGCGATCCTCAACATCCTTATTTCTACGAGGAAGACGATGTGTGGATGGCACCAGGCTTTATCAACCAGTTTTATGAAGTATGTTAAAATTCAGTTGAATTTTTAGGTGGTTAATAATCAACTTGTTATCAGAATATGTAAGGAATTGAGGGAATTCAGTTGAAATTTTTAGCTAGTTAATAATAAACTTTTTATTTGAATATGCAAGATATTGAGGGAAGGACATGTTTTGGTGGCAGGTTCCTGATTACTGGAAAACATATGTGCATGATGTGGATCAAGAAAGGGAGATGTGGTTGAACTCCTTCTATAGAGCTCCGTTGAGGATACCTATGCCAGCTGAGCTAGAATACTGGTGGTCAAAAGGTAATATCATTGTTTCTTTAATTTGAAAAAGTAACATGTTACCTGCTCCCTTCTCTATATTGCTACTTCTTGATCCATCATTTGGATTATGGAGCTAAGATGAAAATATATGTATCTGGAAACATTTCTTTGAAGGGGGTTTACCTGGCATATTGTTGAATTGTAAAATGATGGGCGTTCCCTATGCATGTTCTATGTGCACAACTGGGTGACGTGGTTTAGCATATTCCAGGGGAGTTTTCCATGTGACCACCAAGCATTAGCTTGAGAAGTTTCTCCTCCACCTTTCAAAGAGGAGGTTGCGGGTTACTGAGACAATTAAGACCTATAGATACCCTTGTGCTAAAATGGGTTACCGAGTCATGAAGGAAATAAAAAGATAAGGTCCCAATTTTTTTCCTTGCTTCGATCTACCCGGAAGATTAAACAATACATTGGTCTCTTTAGTAAAAAAGGTAAAGGGTGGAAATAAGGTAATTTGTTCTAATTATATATTTCTTCTCTCTCTCTCTCTCTTTATTATTATTATTTTTTTTTTGTGAAAGAAATTTGTGGTATTCCTTGTGATAACAATGAATGTATGTGTTCAAAAAAAACATCAGTACCCTTTTTTGGTCTTCAGTTCAATTATGTTTTAGGTGGAAAAAGATGGGAGGAGAAAGACTAGAAATTTGGTATTTCACTTGTACTTATAAGTTTCATGGTGTGGTGGTTGAATAATTATAATAGAAGTGTGGGAGAAAAATAAGAAATTTGGAGTCATTTGATTAAAAAATTAAGTAGTTTGTATTTCTAATTTTGTCTATGCCCATTCGTGGTCCCGATGATTCTTGTTTGTAGTGCCTCAATTAGTTTACTCTTACAGCTCTTTTCTAATGGATTACAGCTATTTTTGTCTAAAAAGCTGCAACTAATACATAATTTTTTTGTTGTTTAATCAGATGAAAATCCAGAATTCATCCTTATAAACAAGGAACCAGAGCCTGATCCTGAAGATCCATCAAAGCTTATATATAATGAAGATCCCCTCATACTTCACAGACCAACTGGACGGGTAATCAATTATGTCGAAGATGAGGAACATGGGATCCGCTTATTTTGGCAACCACCGCTAAAAGATGGGGAAGATGTGGACCCAGAGAAAGCCCAGTTCTTACCCCTTGGATTCGATGAGTTCTATGGACGTGATGTGCTTGTCAAGAAGGAAAATACATGGAAACGCATTGTGTTAGCGGTGGAAAATGCGTGTAAACCACTGTTTGATAAACTAGAGAAATGGGCTGAAGAGAAGAAGAAGGAGAGTGATATGAAGATGAAGCTGATAGAGAAAGAGCTTGAAGTAGTGGAGGCTGAAATATGTCTGGAGGAGGCCATTGAAGACATGGATGAGGAATTGAAGATCATACAGAAAGAGGAGGAAAAGAAAGTGGAAAACGGGTTGCAAGAGGAAGAAGGCACTTTACCTTCTGAACTGGCCAACCAAGATGAGAAAGCTTCAGCTGAAGAAGATGAAGTGGAAGAGGAAGAGGAAGAGGAAGAGGAAGAGGATGATGCAGCACCATCAAGTTTTGGGTCTGCATTTGAAGCTCTGGACTCAACAAAAAATGACCATAAGGGAAACAAACCTGGGAAGTCACCAAATTCTACATCATCATCATCGTTTGCCTCTTGCAGCCTTGTTTGTTCTTTCAGCCTTGTTTCAATGGTGAGTTCTGACTACCCTTGCATTCTATTGTTGGATTATCTTCTGTACATGTTAAAAAAAAAATAATCAAGAGCAGGTGAATACTTAAACCCAAAATTCAAATTTATTCAGAAAAATAACCTTTGTTTCTTTAAGCCGTAGCTCATTTCCTGTAGATCAAAGTCTTAAAATCAAATTCCATGATTAGTAGGAAAAATACCACGGATAGTTAGGCCATGACCTAATGTGGAATATTACATTGGACTGTTGCCCTTGGCAGTATCCTCACTCTGGACAACCTCAGGAGGAGACTTCATATTGTGGTGAACTGGTGTTGCATGTGTAAGACGGGAGAGTCTGTGAACCACCACCTTCTGCTTCACTGCCCCGTGGCGAGGGATGTATGGGCTATGTTCCTGGTTGCTTTTGGTTTGTCTTGGGTTTTTTCCAAAATCCACAGTGGACGTGTTAGAGGTTTGGAAAGGGTGTATAGTGGAGAGTGGAGTCAGAGATGTTTGGAGGGCCACTCCCAGGGACCTAGAAACGTAAGTGAGTGGGGATTGAAATTTTTCACCAATTTCAGGGGGGGCAATAGTATAATTTTATAGGTATATATATCAAAATTCTAAAAATATTAGGGTATAATTTTTAAAATTTTTTTTTTCTTTCAGCGGGGGCAATTGCCCCCATTGGGCACACATTGGGTCCATGCCTAGCCACTCCCCTTTGTATTTGGTGGGGTTTGTGGCGCGAGAGAAATAGGAGATCCTTTTCTGGGAGGAATCTCCTATTTGGTCTCTCTAAGCGAGAACTGAAATTATTATTATTGGGTATACTATAATACATCACGGAGAGTTGGCCCTATGTAGCCGAATACAATTTGTACAATCAGAAAAAGAATAAAAGTTTGAATCCCATAAAATATGGGATTTTCCTAACTAAATCAGGTACTAGCTAAATGAGGATTAATTTCCAACTAATTACAAAGTCCAAAGATTCCCCCCCCCTAATTTAAAGTTGTACCTGATTTTCCTATAAATAGAAAAATTGCGACTTTCCAACACTCCCCCTCAAGCTGGTGAATGAATGTTCTCCATTCCCAGCTTGCCATTGAGTTTCTGAAATGCATGTCTGGGCAATCCTATCGTTAGAACATCTGCTAGTTGACCTGCTGTTGAGACATATGGAGTGCAAATTAGACCACTATCAAGTTTTTCCTTTATAAAGTGCCGATCCACTTCCACATGTTTTGTTCGATCGTGTTGTACTGGATTGTGAGCAATGTTGATAGCCGACTTATTGTCACAATATAGCTTCATTGGTCCTTCTCACGTGATTCTGAGATCCTCCAGAATTATCTTGAGCCATAAAAGTTCACAAATTCCTAGTGCCATTGCTCGAAACTCCGCTTCTGCACTCGACCTGTTGTTTTTTACTCCTCCATGTCACTATATTTCTCCCAAAAACGTGCAATAGCCCGATGTCGATCTTCTATCAACCACTGATCCAGCATAATCTGCATCTGTATATGCCTCTAAGTTCAAGCTCGTCCCTTTCTTGAATAAAATTCCCTGCCTGGACTAGCTTTTAAGTATTATAGGATCTGATATACAACTTGAAGATGTATTTCCTTGGGATCGTGCATAAACTGGCTCACCATGCTAACTGTAAATGCTATGTCATGCCTAGTATGGGAAAATCAGTCTTCCCACCAAGCGTTGATACATTCCTTTATCCACTGATTCTTCCTCTGTACCCTCACCCAACTTTTGATTGGCTTCTATTGGTGTTTCAGTTGGTATGCACCCTATTTTTCCAATTTCCTTGAGAAGGTCTAGCACGTACTTTTGTTGTGAGACGAATATTCCTCCCCTTGGCCGAGCAACCTCTATGCCCAAGAAATATTTTAAGCCTCCCAAATCCTTTATTTCAAATTCCTCTGCAAGGCGTTGTAGGTGCTTCCTTTTCTCTTATGTCGTTCCCAGTGACAATGATATCATCCACATATACCAGCAAGACGATTACTCCCCCTGAGTTCAAGTGCTTTACGAATAGAGTGTGATCATCTTGACTTTGTTTGTAGCCCATTCCTTGCATTGCCTTTGCAAATCTCCCAAACCATGCTCTTGGTGACTGCTTTAATCCATACAATGCTTTCTGGAGCTTACATACTTTCAAATCTCCAGTGTCAACACCAAACCCTGGGGGCCTCTTCATATAAATTTCTTCTTCAAGATCCCCATGTAGGAAAGCATTCTTTACATCGAATTGATGTAAGCTCCAATCTAGGTTGGCTGCTAAAGACAACAATATCCTCACTGTATTCATCTTAGCCACTGGTGCGAATGTTTCCTGATAAATCAACTCCATAGGTTTGTGTATAACCTTTCGCAACTAATCTGGCTTTATACTGTTCCAGCGATCCATCTGCCTTGTACTTCACCGAGAACACCCACTTGCATCCAACTGGCTTCTTTCCTCTGGGTAATTCTACTAACTCCCAAGTATTGTTCTTCTCCCGTGCATCCATTTCCACTTTCATAGCCTGTTTCCATTTTTCCTTCCCTAGAGCCTCAGACAGTGTTTGTGGTATGGTTATAGAGTTTAGGTGGGTGTGAAAACTTCTATATGAAGATGACAATTTTTCAAATGACACAAAATGAGACAAAGGGTGTTGTGTGCAATTTCGAGTGCCTTTCCTTGCTGCAATGGGTCGGTGCAGGTCATTTTTTTTCAATTACTTCAGAGGATAAATCAAGAGTAGGAAGAACTGGGACATCTGTTATAAAAACCTCTGTATTTACTTCATTCCTGAGAATTGGCTTGGACACTTGGGCCTGATTTAGTTTAGCAGTGGGACCTCTTTTCCTTGAATATTGCTACAATGGTGTCGTGACAACAGGTTCCATCGGATTTTCAGGTTGTCTTGGAGTCTCGGGATCATGTGGTTGTTTTGGTGTTTCAGGTTGAGGTTGTTCGAGCAATGGATCAGGTGACTCAGGAGGTAGCAAATCAGGTGAGGTTATTGGGTGGCTGTTTTGAGCAGGATGGTCTATGAGAAAACCAAGATCACTAAAATCCTTATCTTCCCTAGTAGAAGTCTCCCCCGGAAGATAAGGGTGAAAGAAATTCTCATTTTCAACAAAGGTAACATCAGCGGAAATGAAGGTTTTACGTGACGATGGATGATAACATTTGTATCCTTTTTGCGTTGAGGAGTACCCTATGAAGACACACTTGAGTGCTCGAGGATTAAGTTTGCTACAACTCTTGGAGTGACTGAACAAACGCAACACACTCAAATACCCGAGGAGCCAATTGGTTGTGAGAGGTAAAATTTGGAATTTTTTTTTGATAACACTTCCCAGGGACTTTTAAAGTCACGAATTCGGGATGGAATACGGTTTATCAAGTGAGTGGATGTAAGGACAGCTTCCCCCCATAAATATTTTGTAACTTTTGTTTGGAATAGCAGTGCTCTGGTTGTTGATAAGAGATGACCGTTTTTCCTTTCTGCCACTCCATTTTGTTGGGGTGTATCGATACAAGAAGATTCATGTACCCTTCCTTTTGAAAGTAATAAGGAGATAAAACTTGATTAAAATATTCTTTTGCATTGTCAGATCTTTTTTTTTTTTTTTTTAATTTTATTTTAACCCCAAATTGATTTTTTATCATGTCGTGAAAGATTGGAAAAAGCGTACACACATCAGATTTTTGTTTCATCAAAAAAACCCACGTGACCCGAGTACAATCGTCAATAAAAGTGACAAACCATCTGGCCCTAGAAATATTTGCGATTCTTGAGGGACCCCAAATATCACTATGAATCGAATAAAAGGGAAATGAAGATCTTTTATTACTCACAGGAAATGGAACACGTTTATGTTTAGCATACTCACAAATGTCACAATGAAATTGACTGATATCAACACCCCTAAACAAGGAGGGAAACATGACACTCAAAACTCTAAAAGGATGCCCATACTGTAAATGGTAGAGCCAAATTTGGTTTTTTATTGATGACTTGGTATCGGACAGCAAAGAAAGTGATGAATTGACCTTATTGTTCACAGTTTTATTCGGCAAATCCAGGTAGTAGAGGCCACTGCTGAACACATACTCGATGGTTTTTCCAGAGAGTTCAGCAAGGATCTAAGCCGTTCTATGTCGTCTTTGTTGAATTCCTTGCCACTGGAATTTTCTCGACTACTGGAACCATCATCATTAGCTTGTGTAGATTGGCCTGCCCTTTCCGTTGCTAGTTCGTTGATCCTCCACCATTTTGGTCAGGGTCTTGTGGTCTCCCATGAAGCTTCCAACACTGCTCCTTTGTGTGTCCTGGCTTCCTGCAATAGTTGTATTATTTGTATACAAGATTTGTCCTATTCCCATTTCTTGGATCTGGACGTTTGCTTTCAGTGTTGGCAGCAAATGGTTTTTCTGGAGTTCGTTCCTTCGGGTCTGTTGTAGTTAAAGCCGAGCCTTGTAATAACCATTACTCCTCTTCGACTTTCCTCAGCATGAAAAATTGCAATAGTCTCATTCAGAGACGGTAATTCCTCTTTTCCAAAAATCTGCTCTCTTACTTGATCAAATTCGATATTGAGCCCTGCCAGAAAGTCATATGTTCTATCCTTCTTAATAAAATTCTTAAGAATAGCAGCATCCTCACTATCTTTCATTTTGATACATGTATAGTAATTCATCTCTTGCCACAAATTCTTTAATAAGTTGGCATATTCAGTGACCGAGAGATTACCTTGTTTAGTGGCTGTGAGTTTAGTCTTGTTCTTGTAGCTTTGTGCCGAATCATTCACCTTGGAGTACGTCTATCGGATTGCTTCCCATATATCTTTGGCCGTGGTCAGAAACATGCAGGTGTCACTTATTTCTGGCACCATTGCACTCCATAGCCAAGACATGACCATGGAGTCTGTCTCGTCCCAAGTGGCAAATTTGGGGTCTTTGGTATCGGGTCCAGTTCCAAGGAGATGACTAAGTTTTCCTTTCCCTTTGAGAAAAGTTCGGACAATTTGGGACCATTTCAGATAGTTCTTACCATTCAGTCGATATGCGGCTTGAATGTTCTGCAACTCACCCAGTCACCCGTGGCCTGATGGGTAGTCGTCTCCTCGGATTGACCGGTTCCAGATTCTTCTGACATCTTTGGTTCGCCGTTTTACAAAAGGATTGATTCCCAGGAAGAGAGCCTAAAGCTTTGATACCATCTAAACGAGAACTGAAATTATTATTATTGGGACTACTATAATACAGTACGGAGAGTTGGCCATATATAGCCGAATACAATTTGTACAATTAGAAAAAGAATAAAGTTTGAATCCCATAAAATATGGGATTTTCCTAACTAAATCAGGATACTAGCTAAAGAAGGATTAATTTCCAACTAATTACAAAGTCAAAGATTTTCCCTCCTAATTTACAGCTATACCCGGTTTTCTTATAAATAGAAAAACTGTGACTTTCCAACAGTCTCTCAGATACAATATACTCTGTTCGTTATTCTTTGGGTCAATGGGCAGAATTGTATATCTTCAGACCTTTTGGATTTTGTGGGTAGTTTAAAATTTTATAGTTTTAGTGTTGCTGTGGGTGGCCTTTGTAATCTTTTGGGAGCGCTTCCCCTTTTTTGAGCGCCTTTAATGAGTTCTTACTTATCTAAAAAAAAAAAAAAAAAAAAAAATTGATAATAATACGTTGATGAAAAGGACCAAAACATTACCTCAAAATCTTCTGAATAATTTTTTGATTGAATTTCTTTCAAACGATTTGGGAACTTCTTCCAAATTATTATGTTATTTCTAATTTATTATTTGGAAAGCAATTAAGACTACCATAGTACAGTTTTGGCTAATTGCTTTCAAATGCTTAATGCATTCTGCAGGTCCCGTCTCAGATACAACAATCATTTTTGACGTGGAAAGTGGGGAAATTGCGACGAGAGAGTTCCTCGTGCTCAGTTAGTTTCCCCCTCATGATTAACCAAAATTTGACACTGACGGCTGTGAGGCAAGCAAATCATCGGGCTAGTTACATACCCAATTTGCCATTGAGAAATTGCTCTACCCGGAGGACTTCCATAAAACACACAAGAACCCTGGCAGAGCAGAAATCACTACGTAGAAGTTGGCCAACTGCTCCGGAAAAGGACTTGTGCAGCATTTTGTCTTTGCACACTAGCCTAGATTATGCCGTGCAGTGAAACCTCTCTCTCTCTCTCTCTCTGTCTCTCTCTGTCTCTCACTATTATTGTTGCTATTATGAGGCTATACTTGGATAGAAGTAGAAATCATAATTCCTAGCAATCAGTTTTGTCACACTAAATGGATGGATTCTTTCTTTATTTAATCAAGTGGAAGAAGCAATTTATCAAAATATAAGCAGTCCTTAGATTAATATAGAGGGATAAATTTTATCCAACATGTTGGATCTATTCATGATTATTGTGAATTGGGAGAGTTTAATGGTACTAGTGTACGCCAAGAGTCGATGCCAATGGTATTGAGTTGTACTTTTTTGTCTTCTCCTCCTGAATCTCATTCAAGTGCTCCAAACACATACACTGAGTGTTTTCTTTTTATTTATTTATTCTTTATTTTAGGGTACCTTTTATTTATTTATTTTTGTTTGAGAGACTATATTGAGCTATTAATCGTTCATTACTAATTAATCAACCAATTCTGTTGTCCAAACAAATGACTCAAGAAGGGGTGGAAGGGGTCTTCAGGCAAACTATTGTCGTTCTTGGCCTTTTTCTCAAACACTTTGTGTGCAATAAAAAATGGTAATAATATGAACAGCAACTTAATGTAAAGAGTTACGGATAGAAAAATGCAACTTGGACAAGCATTTTTCATGCTTCGGCTCGCTTACATCGACGACGTAAGAGCACCTCTTTTTCGAGATTTCAAACCTCCGCTTTCAAGCTCTCATTCATGGGTAAAGAGCAAAGCTTCTCAAAGCTTTACAAGCTTGTTCCTCCTTTGCTAAGTGAGCATGTTACCAAGGATTCACCAACCCTTTTACAACAATCTCAAAGATATACAAGTTTTGAGTACTAAGTTTTATACTCTTCAAATGATGAATATATATGTGGAGGGAAATTTCCCCACCGATCATAATACACCACGCATCCGCATAATAAGAAAGGCCCATCATCAGAATAACCAACCCAAAAGCCCAACATAGTCAGAAGCTGTAACGACCCTAAACCGATACTATTTAATTTTTTTTTTTTTTTGGCATGACCTCTGCTAAAAAGGGGCATTTTAAGACTTATCCAACATGTCCCAACACACAATACAAAAAAATATAATACATTTCCCAAAACAACAATATCAACAACCTCCTCAAGTTGGCCCATCATCGTCATCCCATTCAACACAAAATATTTACATAGTCTCGTTTCCCTTCAAAATACCAACAAGAGTTATAGTTTATAATACACGACCATGGCTTGCAAAATGTGTACACTTCACTATGGTTTTGAGACTTTACAAAAGTGTAGCAAAATACAAAAGATAGCAAAAAAAATATTCCTAGTCCTTCTTAAGTTTGTGATGGTTCAGTGTCCAAAGCTTTTTTCCCGAGTCCTGAAAATAATGTTAAATGTAATGGGGTGAGCAAATTGCTAAGTAGGTGGTGCCTAAGACACACCTCTTGTAACCCAATGAATCCAAATACTGAATAGGGATAGAGGATAGGGGTCATGTTATGCCGGAAAAAAAAAAAAATACAATATCAATTCCAAATTCAAAACAAGCAAATGTTATGCTATGAATGCAATGCCATGCATGTCACTCCCCATTTTCAGAAAACATCCATCGCTTCACTAACTGTTAATATAACCCGTCCTTTGGTGACTCCGCAGCGACACGAGAGAAGGGTTGGCTATTGTCCTGACCCTTGGTACCCCCACGGCGTCATTTGGGGCCCAGTTAGTTCCACCATGCTAATGTGTTTCTCTTAGTTCTCTCTAGGTTACATTAACACACCGGCCCTTTGGTGACTCCGCGGCGACCGGGTTTTCTCAAAACCATTTTATCAAAATTTTCCCCAAAAATGCCTTTTTCATCCTTTTCAAATCATTTTGCCCTTTTTCTTTCATGCCCAATGCTACGGATGTATGTCACATGCTTTATCATTTCCAGGGAATTAAAGAAATTTCTACTACACAATTTAGCATGCATCCATATAGTCATTTTAGCAAGATAATAAACATTTAGACATGAAAATTAACACTTTAGCATATTTTTCATATAATTCCATCAACACACATAAGCATAGATTTCAATTACAACAATTATATCATTTTCAAGGAAATCAATTTAAATAAGGCATGCTTTTCATACTATTTAACAAATACACATAATTAACATGGTTCCTCATAATAATTTCTAACAATTTAACGAACACAATAGGCATAGAAAATCAACAATTAGGCATGCTTTCCATGTAAATCAACAAATACACACAATTGGATACTTCATATACACAATTAAATCATTTAAGAGATAATCAATTCAAATTAATCATGCTTGACAATAATTAAAGTTAAAAAACTCACAAAGGTGCAAGAAAGTGAGGATTAGAGATCCCTACATCAAGATTATGCAAAACCCCCAAATTAAATGTCCTATATCTCGAAATTCCCAAGTGCACCAAACTAGGAATTGCTCCTATTAACTTGTAGACCTCACCGTGAGCATCAATTTGCCGCAAACGGCATTAAAAAATACCAAGTATTGAAGGAGAAATCAAGAATTGAAGCCTTGAAGTGAAAAAAAAGAAAAAATGAAAGCTGAGAGGACGAGAGAGACTAGCGGGAGAGAGGATGAGAGAACAGAGACCAAAATGTGGTCTCATGACCACTTAAAAGTGGTTGTGGGTCCTACCAATTTTCTTTTTATTTTTCCTTTTTCTTTTATTCTCATTTTACACCATATATATATATATACACACACACACACACATTTAATAATTTCACAACCTTATATAACACATTAAATAAAATTCATGGAATGCAAATGGACCCAATTAAAATCCCTGTATGTAACAATTTCGGAAGCGGGTCCCACACGGGACCATCCGGCCTGAAAAACGAAAAATGCGAAAATGGTCACCCTTGCATTTCAAAGAGTGCTAAACTCAATGAAATGCTCCAAACAACTCACTGACACACCCGGCACACCCCACGATGTCCGGTACGCACAACGTGAAAATACAAAAATGCCCTCGCATCAACAAAATTCCAGAAAAATGAAAAATGGAGAAAATTGGAAACATCACAATCTCCCTAACTTAAAAAGATTTCGTCCCCGAAATTAAGACATACCTGAGGAAGAAAACAATGCTTGATACTTGGAGCGAACCTCCTGTTCGAGCTCCCAAGTAGCTTCTTTGACTCCGTGGTGTCTCCAAAGAACTTTCACCAATGGTGTCATCTTGTTCCTCAACACTTTCTGCTGTGTGTCAAGGATCTGAACTGGTCCCTCCTCGTAGGAAACATCTTTAACAATGTCCACATCAACCCAACTTAAAATATGGGATGGATCTGGCTCGTACTTCTGTAGCATTGATACATGAAAGACATTGTGGACTCTATCCATCTGTGCTGGCAAAGTAAGTCTGTAGGCGACCTCTCCTACTCGGTCCAAGATCTCAAAAAGTCCAATGAATCGTGGCGATAACTTGCCACTCTTCCCGAACCTCAACAATCCCTTCCGTGGAGAAACTTGTAGAAAAACATGGTTTCCTACCTCAAAAGATAGCGGTCGTCTTCGCCTATCCGCATAGCTCTTCTGTCGACTCTGAGTTGTGAGCAACCTCTGTCTGATCAATTTAATTTTCTCGGTAGTCTCGAGTACAATGTCTGGTCCTAAGGCGGTTGTCTCGCCTACCTCAGTCCAACAAACTGGAGACCTACAGGGTCTACCATACGACGCCTTAAATGAAGCCATCTCAATGCTCGCCTGATAAATTTTGTTGTAGGCAAACTCAATGAGTGAAAGGTGATCCTCCCAATTGCCTCCTAAATCAAGTACACATGCCCAAAGCATATCCTCCAAGATCTGGATAGTACGCTCCGACTGGCCGTCCATCTGTGGATGGAATGCCGTACTAAGGTGCAACGTTGAGCTAAACGCCGCTTGATGTCCTTCTCAGAAATTTGAAGTGAACTTGGCATCCTTATCCCAAACAATGGTTACTGGAACTCCATGCAATCTTATAATCCCCTTCACATAAAGAGCACCAAGTGCCTCTGCATCATCTGTTGCCTTAATAGGCAAAAAGTGAGCTGTCTTGGTTAATATGTCAATGATGACCCATACGGCCTCGTTGCCTCTTCGTGATCTTGGAAAATCCGTCATAAAATCCATAGCAATCTGCTCCCATTTCCACTGCACTACAGGTAATGGTTGCAACAAACCGGCCGATCTCTGATGCTCAGCCTTCACCTGTTGACAGGTAAGGCACTTAGTCACAAACTGTGCAACATCTTTTTTCATCCCGTTCCACCAATACTGACGTCTCAAATTGTGATACATCTTGGTATCACCTGGATGAACTGCAAAGGGGGAAGTGTGAAACTTCCGTAGGACATCCTCACGACAAACTGTGGGAACAACCAACAAACCTTTGAATCGTGGACGTCCATCTACATGCAAAGTCCAATCCTTCACTATCTCACCACTGGAGATCAAAGTGTGAATGACATCCAAATCCGGATCCTGTCTCTGTGACTCAATCACTCGTACGACAAGAGTAGGCTTAGCCACAAGACTAAATAAGAATGCTGACTCACTGCAAACATCATCATCAAAACACTGCAATCCCATCTTTGCCAGACCTTCAAGCATCTTCCACTTCCGAATGGCCAAATTAGCCAAAGTTCCATGAGATTTCCGGCTTAAGGCATCTGCTACTATATTTGCTTTGCCCGGATGATACTGCAAGTCAAAATTATAATCTTCCAAGAATTCAACCCATCGCCTCTGTCTATTGTTCAAGTCTTTTTGGGAGAAAAGGTACTTGAGACTTTTATGATCCGAGTACACCTTGTAATGACTCGAGTTTTAATCAACCCGGTGCGTTGGCGGTGACCCGTACGTAAATCAAACAATGAAACAGAATACAGATGCAAAAGGTAAAATAATGGTCTCTAGAGATACTACATGTCTGTAAGACACCAATGTGACCCTCAATGAGGTCACGGAACCCAAAGAAAACAATTGCGGAAGCGACGTTTTAAAAATGGACAAGAATGAGCCTAGGGGCAAAACGGTCTTTTCTAAAATGGAAGTGGGTATTACCAAACATACCATTGGAAATACAACAAAAAATGAATGAAGTTAGACTCAAGAATCACTTGATTCGTAGTCCGGATGATAAAGATATGAAGATAGAACAAAGCGGCGTCCTGCACTAAGCGACACCGGGAACCTATCCCACTAAAACTGCCATAACTCTCACTATGATTGGAGTTTTAGGGTGGAGTTGGTACCATTGGAAATCTGACTTCAAGCTCTTGAATTTAGATTCAATAATGACCTAATTTGGACCTCGGATGAGTAAGTTATGACCATTTGAAAATAGGTCACCGCTGCAGCCAAACTT